TAGAGAAATATTCATTGCTGCTCTGGAGTTGAGGGAGAAGAGGACTGTTGGGCAAAGCATTGAGAGGGTAAGTGCCATAGAATTCGTAAAGGGGCTGAGAACTAGGCAGAATCAGATTGGTGAGGAGGAAGAGCCAAAGTCAGAGCTGGAGGAGGAAGAGCCAAAGTCGACTTTGACCATAATATGGATTCTTTCCGTCTCTTACTTGTATGGGTGGATTACACACCGACCATTAAATCGACCATTAACTATAGGAATACGAGTGTGGCTTGTGATGGTTCATCCCTTAATCCCAATAGATCCTTGAAACTTAAATTTTGAAAATATGTCCACTAAGGTGATTAGAAGGTGGATTTGTATACACGGCTAAACTGTGCAACCGCATAAGGCCGACTGCATCAAACAGTTGTACTCTCTTTCCCCGACCACCCCCTCAAAAAATAATACCTTCAGCTTCGCAGTTTTTGTTAAAATTGCTGTCGCTTACTCTCTTCGAAATCAAGTTCTAGGGTTTTGAGAATTCAAGCTCCATGGCTTGGCTACCCACACTCGTATCGATGACGTAAGGCCGCCGGTGCCCTAGCTATTGCCCCAGTTTTTATTCACTTTAGTTTGTGATTAATTGGAATGCGTTTTTGTTCAATACAGGATGATCATTTCGGAGGCCATTTTCCTGGAACTCACAATTCCAGGTGGCCTGGTATGCTTCATTTTCCTTGCAACCAAACACTGCCTTCCAATGTGTGATTGAATTTTTCTTATTCATTTCTTTATCCTTCTTTTTTTTTTTTTATAAATGGAAATTTAGGTAAAAAGAGAAGCTTTTGGGGATCTTGAGACTGTCATCCAACTCTCATCCTCAAATTTCTCTAATTTTTTATTATTTATATTTAATGACTGTTATCCATCATATCTAAAGTTAGACTTGTATGGAACATTGGTAAAGTCAAAAGTGTATTTTTTATTTCTGCAACAATATTGTTGTAAATCAGTGCGTTAATCCGACAGAATGGTTTAGGTGAAGAACCAAATATTTATGAATGCTGATATGATGCGTATTTAAGCATGATGTTTCATTTGTGGGAAAGAAAAAAAAAAAAAGTTAAAGAGGTAATGTATGACTTTTATGAAGGTTATCTCAGATTTTAGAAGAGTTATACTTGGGATGTGGCAGTTGTTGTCCAATGTCAGAAAGTTATGTTAAAGAGTAGGATTTATTATGTGTAAACGGGCCGCTATTTCTAGGAAGTTACATGCATGCATTGGCTTCCACAAATTCTTGCTTATATAACAGATGGGTGGATTAAACATTAAATAGACTTCTTCCATGGAGAAACCAACTAGGAGAGGAATCCTTCTGGGAATGAATCGCCTTTGTCAAGTGTACATCTTGTTTCCGTTTTTGCGTGGGAAACGAAGAAACTTTCTGGGAAGAGGAAACGAATAAACTTAATTTAATAGCATGTTGTTTCTGTTTTTTTATTTATAATAAATTGGATAATATATACATATATATATATATATAGTTGGGGCCCCTTAATTGGAGGCCCATGGCCAAGGCCCTCTCTTGCCGACCCCAAAGCCGGCTCTGAGTATATCACATTTGCATATCACACTGTGTACTATCTCTCTATGAGAGGTGGAGCCGACCAATACAATGAGGCCCCGCCTCTATTAGAGAAACAAAAATGGTATGCCCTAATCCGAGCACGTGAGTACAGTAGTTGTTGGTTGACTGACCTAATTCCTTGGAGGCCAAGATTACTTGGTGTATAAGAATTCTGGTTGCAAAATAATTGTTATTTATAGTTCCACGAAATCCTTGAAAAATCATATCAAATCGCTACAATTTAACAAGAATATAATATTTTATCACTTAATATTTACCTTCTAAACAAAGCCAATATTTTACCGTACTTGATTCTCTTGCCATTGAACGAGGAAATAAACGAACTGTATATTATAATAAGAAGTAGGAAAAGAAAACGAAAATATTGCAATATTATATCATTATTGCCCAATTACTTACTATGAGATTATTACCATTTTGAGTTCTATACGTACAAGAGGACTTGTGCTAATGTGTTATCCGCTTCATGTATTTTATAGATAGCCAGGAATATCTTAGGGTTGATTTCTTGGTACGTGCAATATTTTGTTTCTTCTTCTTCTTCTTAATTTGGAGTGCTTGCTCGTCTTGGTGTCATGTACCCTAATAATAAGAAGCGTCGTTGTGGGAACATGGCCGCTGGTGTTGCCTTCAAATACAGTTGCAGTAGGTACATATCATCACCAGAATGGGCAAGTCTTCCTCTGTTGCCTGTGTTTTTGATTCTTGATAATTTGTTTGAGCCCATTGACCATGTTTCTTTTGCTGCCGTCTGCAAACAATGGCGTTCTCTTGCAAAAGACTATAATCAAGCAACACAGCGGTGGCGGCATAACAACCTACTTCCCATGCTCTTGATCCCTAATGAATATGACTGCGAAGGCGGCGGCGGCAAGAATAGCCGCCTCCTAACTAAAACAAACCACCGAAAAGCATTATACAGCATTGCTGAAGGCAAAATCTACAACAATATTGGATTGGAAGTGCCTTTTAAAAAGAGGTCTTGTGGCTCTAGCCACGGTTGGTTTGCCACAATAGAATCCGTCACAGACCAAGGTCCGATTATAGCACTCCGGGACCCTTTCAGAAATCTGGCATCGCCCATTCTTCTCCCTCTCTTGGATGTCATACCCAAGAAACGTGACAAATACTTCCACGAATTCAATGTGAGAAAGGTCATCTTCTCTGCTGACCCTGCTTTGAGTCCAGATAACTATGTGGTTGTAGCACTGTTACGTAAAGCTAATCATTTTGTGGCTATTTATGAAGAATTTGCTTTCATTCGTATGAAAAGAGGCCAAAGCCAAAAAAGTTGGACTTGGATTAGGCCCCCACTTCCGGTCGCTGATGTTATATCTTACCAAACCCAAGTCCACCTACTTGGACATCAGGGAGAGATTTGGTCATTAGATGTTAACCCTTATACTTCAAGAATACGACGACTAAAGCTGCTTACACATCCGGACGCAGGCTTCCACCGTTATAAAGCTACAAGATATCTTGTAGAATCAACCAAGGGAGACTTAATGCATATCGAAAGAGTTTGTAAACAAACACAAGGGGCCTACAAGAATGTTATGACTGAAAGCTTTAGGGTTTACAAGGTGGTGTTCGACGACAAAGACGGATCTGTTTTACAACATGTTGAGGTAAAAAGCATCGGAGATGATGCCTTTTTCATAGGTGACAATCATTCTGTCTCTGTTTTGGCTTCCAACTTTCATGGATGCCAGTCAAATTCCATATATTACACCCATGATTTCTCATCGTCATCTTTTGTTTACGGAGACCATATCCAATATGATACGCTATATGACGACATGCCATGTCGCGATATGGGTATCTTTAATTTAGAGAGCGGAACCATCACACAACATTTCTCCTTAGATCCTTATTCTGATTTGCAGGGGTATATACCGCCTGCAGTCTGGGTTGTACCCCAGTTTAATGGACTCTGCTAGCTAGCTTCTTACAATTAAATTAATGTTTCATGTGATTTCATCAGCGTAATGTATTGCACCTTTTTTTTTCTTCTTTTTGATGATGATCCATGTGATCAACTGAGTTCCCTTTTTTTTTCCTAATAGATATGTGGAGTTTATTTTAGTGATGTGTTAAGATCGATGATTTGATAATATTGAAGTAAGTTTTGCTTGGGTTCTATGTGCCTTAAGGCTGCAACAGTGGGCTCTAAATGCCTCAGCCCACAGGAGGTGTGCAACCACACCCATCATTGGGCTTGTCTTAAGCCCAATAATCCCGAAAAGTTGAACCCCAAAGTGGTTGATTTTGGCCGGTAATAATAATAATATGTCGTTGCCTCTAAAATTGGGGTTGACATGATTTATGAATTATTTTCAACTTTATGTCAAGGAACCTCAACTATATTGTTCTGCATTTTGAATGTGATCAGAGACTTTAGCTGCTACTACTTCTTCCAATTTTTCTGCTTCTTCTCCGGCAACTTGTTCACTCTCTCAGCTTTTACATATGGATGCAGATGGCATGAAGGCGCAGTTAAAGTTATTCTTTTGCACCTCATTTGTAATTTACGAGTGTATATCAAAACGATCAACATTTACAATCCTAATATAAACACGTAAAACACGAATGGCGTGCATGATAATAATCCAAACTTAAAACCATATGATTTAAAGGAGTCAATGAACTCAAAACAGCTGTAGCCTAACAGCTTTGGTAAAAGCCACCACTTACTACAGCTTTGGTAAAAGCCACCATTTACATCCATGACTTCCGCCACAACTCACTTTGTTTCACTTTCACAACACAAAATGCATAACTTACTAATCGGTAGGGATTGACGGTGTCAAAGTTGATGTCATACATGTAAGTTTATTCTCAAAAGCTCTAGCTTTTCCACCCTTTATTTATTTCTTTTTCTTTAATTGGAAAAATGGTCACATATAGTATTATTTTTGCTTATTTATTTTATTAATAAAATGATTTTGGAAATTATTAATTAATTAAAAGTATTAATATGTGCACTCTGGAACTCACATCATGCACCCTCATGAAACATTTTTATGCCATGGTCATGAAACATTTTTATGCCATGGTTCGTTACAGTTGCTTGAGATGCTATCCGAGGAGTTTGGTGGTCGAGTTGAGCTGGCTAAAGCTTATTACAAGGCACTGACTGATTCCAGAAAGAAGCATTTCAATGGCAACGGAGTAATTGCCAACATGCAACATTGCAATGACTTCATGTACCTTGGAACATAAGCGATATCACTTGGACGTGTTGGTACGCCTTTTGCTAAGTTACATGCTATCATCAGTAGTCCACATGCCTATTAATTTGTTCACATTTATGTAGGGGATGATTTTTGGTCTGAGACCACGAGGGTAGCAGATGGGACATATTGGTTTGAAAATGGACAGAATTGCATTCATGTAATCAAATTTTGCGAAAACCAATATTTGATTCAAGAATAATTGACTTGGGTAGAAAATCCCATGTGAATGCGTAACAGGTACCCTTGGCTTTGGTTCAGTGACATGTGCTTGCTTGCACCAGGTGCTGAACAACAGGTTCTTTCCTCTGCACTGCCTCCCTCACCACATCCTCAAAGCCTGCCTCAAGCATTACTAATGTTGCTGTGTGCTTGAATATGTTCAGCTAATCCCTTTGTACTTTTGCCAAGTGTCTCCCCCTGCACACATACAAACCGGAGGAACAAAAGCTGAGCAAGGCTCCAAATTTGAGCGTCTGCAAAACTAAATAAATAAACAAATAAAGCTCTTCTATCAGCAGCTCTATCCCTTTATGCATAGCTTTCATGCCGGCAATTGACAGGAGACAAACTTTTAGGGAAATGCATATACTCCTCAACATCTTATAACGGAATAAAACTAAATATGGCTACAATAAAACTGCAAGTGGTGCACCATACCATGCTGCACGTGCATATATAAGAGTATAAGCAGATAATAGATTAATAGTTTAACATATCCAGGTACACACAGGACTAGTTTATTTTTCACATAAATATGAAACTGATAGTCTGATAGCACGAGGTTATCAATGGTTAGGAGGGCATTCATGATCATGGCTGAAACCATCTCCCTTGGATGTTGACAGTTACTTCTTATGTAGCATTGCTCATGTCCCAGGTAAAACTTCAAAGCTTTACTCGGGCTAATTAATCAATTGAACTTAACAAGAGTACAGTTTCAACAATTGAAAACGCCCAAGTTACATTTTCATTTTAACATCTCCTGTTTATATGCCTGATAGAACTTTAAACCAGGTAGACATCTCCTGTTTTCAGTTTACATCTAACCAGATTTATTCGGCTGCCTAGAAAAGTATTCACAAATTAAAATTACCTCCTTCCAGCCCATGCTTTCCAAAAAAATATTGGCATAAATAGCAGGGCCTCTGCTGCAGCTTCTTCTGTAGAGCCTGGCAGCGAATCAGTATCACGATTAGTATTGAGCTTGCCAGTTCTCTTCATCCCATGAAGCACCTGTTATAAACATGCTTAAATGTTTCATTATCTCTACCACTGATGGGGCAAGGATGACCAATTACATATATTTATTACAGATTGAGTACATGCTACTTATTAAATCATAAGTGGATGTCAAGCCCTAATAACTAGAGGCAAACACAGTGGCAAACCTTCATCAGAAATAATTTCACTTGATTTAACTGCAACATCATGGTCATCCGAAATCAATTCGCCTTCATTGAGCTCGCGACTATCATTGTTCCCCGCAACTCCACCAAACAAACCCATTTTTTCCTGCTCCAACCACAGCAATCGTTTATCTAAAAAACACATATGAGAATCCAGAACAAACCATCAGCTCCAAAACATGTGTGTTCGGGAAGGCCTGTCATATCAATATCATCAGCAGCATTGGCTTCTAAGTTGGAATAACCAGACAAATAAAGATCAATAAGCGTATCTTCTAACCTAGAAAGAGGTATTGGAATGCTAAAACAGAGTTGGGGGAATATTTAACCAAACAATCAAATTTATAGGGGAAAGGAGCTATGCGAGAACCAGGGCACCATTCTGAGGTGGGAGGGGGATTTTCAGGCAGATCATTGCTGCTGCAGCACTCTGGGTTGCCGGTTTACAAAAGAACCAGTTCACTGCTTTGAACTAAAGGACAACACTAAATGTCTAATACTAGTAAAACTTTGTGCCCATGTGAAGGTTTCTGCAAGATGTTAATGTTCAAAATCAAAACTACCATCATTGAGAAGAGAAAAAAAAAGTGCAAGTTTGAAAAATATGCAGATGCTGATCCAGTGGGAACAAAGACAACCTTAACGACAACCACAAATAAACTAAAAACGAAAAGGCCGTGCCTCACTACATTTTTCCTTTTATTTTGAGATATAAATGCAAACCTGTTACTTGGGTCCTTCGACAACAGGACTCCTGCGTTCTGCTTATTAATAGCCTTAACCTCCGCTTGCAGTGCATCAGCGTCTCCCTCAGAAACTTTCAAAAGAGAAGGATCCAGAATTGTTTTAGAATCAGTAGACTTCTTCCTGGATGAATGTCCACCCAACTAGTTCTGAAATTTCACATCTTCCCGGTGTTCAGTGGTTATAATGGGAGCAGATGAGTGCTTCGCAAGTGTCAATATAATCTTTGCTGCTGCTGCTGCTGCAGTCTTAGCAGTAACGCTATCCAGGTCAAAAAAATTCAATAAATGAAGAAAATGTCAAAAATTAACTAATAAAAGACCACAAAGTCAAAACCTAAGTATGAAACTGAAACTGATTTCAATCATTAGGCAAACTCAATTCCTCCATTGATGTATTACGTAGCAAACACCAAGCATAGCTTCTCATGTTCAAATTATTTAAACACAAGCAAATGGGTCAAACAGAAACAGCTGATACCACTGATCAGACACAGAAAATTCTAGAAAGTCTATGCCTTCAAATCCCTACTGGAACACACAACATACAGTCCACATATATCTATAGGCAGTAATCACATGTAGATCAAGGAAGAGAACATTTGACATTCCATCTGTTCTGTCAAATAACACCCATGGTTTTATTTTACCATCACTTTTACGTACTCAAAAGAGAAACCTTGTTAAAGTCGAGACTTCCATAGGCCATACACAAATCATGGTGGCCACTTGAAAGGAAATAATATGACCTTGTTCAGTACCAAATCAAAGAAGAAATTAAGTGAATAAAGTCTTGTATGTATAGAGTATAGACTATGCAATTAAGGAAAAAAACTATACATAAATACAATCAGGTAAAAGATTGAAGGAAACTCGCATGCGTTCCAGTTTTCCCCTGTTAACAAAGAATCCATCATGTTTTATTGCTGAATTGTCAACTTTAAAATACTCATCCTGCACAACACATAACGAAGTAGCATTAGCAAAGCCATAAATATAAAATGCCACCAATTAAATCAGTGCAATGGCCAACACAGATATAAAACAATAAGATTAATGAATAAATGCACATACCAACTCGGCATCATCAATAAAAGAGTCTTCTGTGTCATACTGATCGAAAGTATTTGTGGGCTCGGCAAACCATAGGCTCCAAACTCAACACATGGGAAAACCTGTCATATCAATATCATCAGCAGCATTGGCTTCTAAGTTGGAATAACAAGACCAATAATAAGCGTATCTTCTTAACTAGAAAGAGGTTTTGGAATTAAAAAAACAGTTAGGAAAATATTTAATTACCCTTTGATCCAAAGTGTTGGTCGACTCGGCTAGTGGGGCGTTTCAGACGTGAATTAAAGATTAACCAAAATGAAATCCGTACACATAACTAACTCGAAGCGCTTCCCTTCTGTTATATAAACCCAAACCGCGCACCTTGATTTTTGAAATTCTGCTCTCATTTCTCTCCCCAATCAGCTCTCTCTCTCATATATTTCCCTTCCACTTTTAGCTCGGCTTCTATTCAATGGAGGAGAAGACAGCTAACACTACAAAGCTGACGGCACTGCTTGTGGTGGCTCCATTGAGGTCACCAGTGCTGCACGCTTCTACAGGCAAGTTTTTGGTGCTATGATTGTAAACAATGATCCAGAGCTGGCTGAGATAATGATAGGTTCAAACCTACTTATCATCACTTGTCCGTCCCGGCCACACCTATGGCCATCGATGCTATGTCTCAGGCTAAAGTGCTCTGATCCAGAACAGTTGGCTAAGAAGATTCTGAACACTGAGCAATTTACACCGACGGCCGAGGATTGTGAATCACTTGTGTGTAATGTTAATAAAGACGAGTATGGAATTTTCTGGCAATTCACCAATGGTAAGCAATCTTATTGCGTTTTGTTAGATCGGATAAGCGATCGGATCGCTTATAATTTTGAATATTTTCAATTATTTTATTATTTTTTTTAAAGAGTGTTTAATTAATTTATTAATTGTCACAGGATCGCTTATAATTTTGTATATCTATTTGCATATTTTTTTCCGAAATTATAAGCGATCCTGTGACAATTAAAAAATTAATTAAAAAATTCTTTTAAAAAAATTAATAAAACAATTCAAAATATTCAAAATTATAAGCGATCCGATCACTTATCCGATCTGACAAAACGCAATAAGATTGCTTACCATTGGTGAATTGCCAGAAAATTCCATACTCGCCTTTATTAACATTCCACACAAGTGATTCACAATCCTCGGCCATCGGTGTAAATTGCTCAATGTTCAAAATCTTCTTAGCCAACTGTTCCGGATCGGAGCACCCTAGCCGGAGACACAGCATCAGCGGCGATAGGTGTGCCCGGGACAGACAAGTGATGATAAGAAGGTTTGAACCTATCATTATCTCAGCCAACTCTGGATCATTGTTCACGATCGTAGCACCAAAAACTTGCCGGTAGAAGCGTGCAACACTGGTGACCTCCGACGGAGCCACCACAAGCAGTGTCCTTAACATTTGAAGAGTTGAAAGCTGCAGCTTAGCCTCTGATATCTCTCGTTTATCTCTCAAATCTTGCATACCACCTTCAACCTGCAATTTATTTACAAACAACATGAACCATATCAAGAAGCTGTTGGCAGGAATCGCAGAATCTCCTGTACACCACTATTACTTGTTTTTTTTTTTCCAGCTTATAACAACGCTTAAACCTAGTCTTCACCTGCTTCAACATGATTGTAATATTTAACACATTGTGCTAACAGGACATCTTCAACATTTCTCTCATAGTTCAAAAGGGGCATTGCTCAAATTAAAAATCAGATTACTAGTTAGACACTAGGTTCAACTTTGGTGCTCAGCAAAGACGATCATGGTCACTTACAATATTGTGTACGTTATTGTGTTATACTAGTAGAAGTTATGGCATGCAAAATCAAATCAGATAAATTCCCGTGAAAAACCTATTTGACTATAAACCTGTTAAATATGAGCTTCGAGCCAACAAATTTTCTATCAACTTATCTGCCTCTAGCACCTAATTTGTACAATCAAAATTATCCATCCTCTAAGTTTAGCACTTACAATAATGCAACCTAATTGACTGCTTAAATGAGAAATGTATGGTTTACATTACAATACCTCTCTTAGAATATTCTCAAGTTGTCTAAGTTTCCCATCATTCCTGCCATGGTTAATTTCAGTAGAATCCTTCAAGTCGTCAACTGAGTTCTCTAGTCGGCGTAAGCGAGTCTCCAGTTGGGAAAGTGGCGCACTGAGACCCTCCACCGCATGCAGCAGATTGTCAAAATGATGGCTCATCTTTTGACCAATCACTGAGATCAATGCCGAGTCATCAAAAGCCCCGGCATACTTGCAACCCGATTTTGCAAGGTCAATGTGGTCCATAGAACTGCAATTCTGTGAGTCATAATAACAGAAGCAATCACTTGAAAATCTACAACAATCATGAGCAGGAATCAACACAGTACACCCCAGCCGATATTCAGTAGATTGAGTTCTCTATCTTCCTCACTTATACCATCAAACTTAATTCAATTTCGTTTAACAATAAATAAAGGGAAAAAAAAACTTAAGCATCTCTATGCACACCCACATAGACATGAATTAAGAAGAGTTAAAACAAAACTCATCAGAAACTTTTGATGCTACCATTATACCAATTCCAGTTAGTGCCCAAATTCTATCTACTAAACACAGAAAGATTCAAACTTCAGATAAATAATCCATCAATTCGAAAATTTAGTTGAAGCTTGAAATGCATACCTCGAAAGTGGAAACGCGTGACTGCTGTGAGACGACATGTCGCGTGGGGCGGAAGTGAAAGCTGGAAACTGAGTAGTCGTCCTTGTCCTCGTCGTCTCGGAGGTCACGAGGGTAAGAAAGTTGAGATAAATCGTCGGAGTGGGACCAAGAAAGTTCCATGGGACCGAGAAAGTTCCATGATCTGCTTATCCATGAACTCCGACGACGTCATGGCGCTCGGAGTTTCCTTTGGCCCTTTCCTGCACATTCGCTCATATTTTCTGAGATTCCAAACAGACGATTGTGCTGTGTTTGGACCAGCGGAACTGTCAACGGAAGATTGACTAGCTGTTAAAGAAGAGTCCAGAAGTTGCTTGATCATGTCCAGTTCTTGATTGATAAAAGCCTGGGCAAATTATATCCCATGACAAAAAATATAAGTAAAGCAGCAAATTATATTTTACAACCCATGACAAAAAATACAAATAAAGGAGCTGCAGGTTTGAACAAATGATACTAATGGCATATTATCACTTACCAAACAGATTCACGTGTATAAGGGAGCTGCAAAAAAATACACTTGTATCAGTTAAAAATGCAACCACTGATACATATTTAATGCAAATAGATCAGTAACTCTAATTCTATTAATATTGAAGATAGAAGAACACTTCCCAGCAACCAAACAAATAAAAATTCATGGCCAAAAAGAAAGAATCTGGAACCCGAGCAAACAAAGAAAAACTCAACCGAAGGATTAGCCACATATTAAAAACCCCCTAACTGAAAAGCTTTAGCCACATAGTTCAGAGAATGATTATGGTTCCTCTTCTTCATCATCCTCCATATGCATGAACATTACCCATGAACTCATGTCAGATTAAACCACATGAGAGAAATTATCAAAGAACAAAACCATTAATAAACCTTAACCCAAAAGAATAAACATGAACCATATCATATGAATTAAACCAAAAATGACAACAAAAAATTCAAATAAAATAAAAAGCCTGATTTTGATCAAAGTTTATACCAGAAACAGAAAAGAATCACATAACCCATTAAAGATTAAGCCAAAAAAAAACAGTGGGATAGTCAATTATTATTATTTTTTTACTTAGTATTGACTAATCAATTAATTCAGCATTCAAGTTCTCCACTTTTCCAAACTCTTGTATGCAGAGCTTTACAGAAGATCACAAGTTTCGCTCTTTTGGTTTTGTATTCTGTTAATATTCATTGAATCACAACCTTCAGAAATAACAGATGAAGGAAAGTGCATTGAGCTGAAAAAGAAGAACCCATCTCAAATTCATGACTAGGAAACAAAACAAAGCAGAATTAATAAAATGGGTAGGAAAGCAGACTACCAAGAGGAACAAATAAAGGAGCACAGAGCATGACAAAACAAGTTTGAGGAGAGAGAGAGAACCTCCATTTGACGGTCTGGAGGGTTATGTGGTCAGACTGAGAAGCGACCTGTCGAGCAAGGTCTTCGCATTCAGCGCAGTAGAATAGGAACACTTGCTTCTTCTGTGAGTTTTCCATGGCCGTCTATCTTGTAAAAGGAACAGAGCCCACAAGCACACACAGACAAGAGAGGGTTTTAGGGAGAGAAGGGTGATGTGGTAACGGTTTAGGTCGACTCGATATCGATCGAGAGAGAGAGATGAAAACAGAAGAGAAGAGGAAGAGACTGAGTTACCTAGAGAGTCGCGTGCGAGATGTGAGGTGAGGGTTACGGAAAAAAGAAAATTTTCTGAAGGATACGCTGCAAGCAGACCCACAAGAAACTCTTTTTTGGCCAATCAAATAACGCCACATGTAACATATATATATTTTAATATTGATCGGTTCGGTTCAGGTTCACCGATTCTGAAAAAATTAGAACCGAGAGCCAAACCATTGACCTTCGGTTTGGTTCAGATCCATAGTTGACTTTTTCAGTTTGGTCAAAAAACACTCTTTTTCGGTTCGGTTTGAGTTAGTTCGGTCGATTTGATCGGTTTATCGGTTTTTATGCCCACCCCTCATAAAATCCTCTCCTTTTTCTTTTCAGGTTAGCAGGCCCAAAAGATGTGGGCTGGAACAATGAAAAGCTCATCAAGGAAATGAGATTGGAAATGCACGTTTGAAGCCCAACAAGGAAAAATATAATGCTTAATTAATTATTTTTTTGCCCTTCTCTTCTAGGTAGGGGGAAAGAAGAGAGAATATTATAGGGGGTTGCCTCAATATTATCTCATACAACCCGGGTGCACTTGGGGAGACGAAGAATTTGACACAATTTTTCATTCTCATATCACGTGCATGCTTAATTAGTTGTTAATTTTCTCTATTGTTGGCTTCATTGTTGTGAACTTTACTTTTGTGTCCTTTCCTAATTGATTTCGGTCACTACCGCCAGCGCAAACACAAATTAATGAATCAAGTTTTTCTTGATGAGTTCATTGACCCGTTTAAATCATATGGTTTTAAGTTTGCGTTATTATCTTGCACGTCATTCGTGTTTTACGAGTTTATATTAGAGTTGAAAATGTTGATCGCTTTGATATAAACTTGTAAATCACGGATGGGGTGCAAAAGAATAACTTAAACCGCGCCTTCGTGCCATATGTAGCCATATGTAAAAGCTGACAGAGTGATGACCATCAGTAGTAAGAATAAGAAACCAAAAGAAAGTGAGAGTGGAGAAGGAGAACAAGTAGTCGGAGAAGAAGCAGAAAAATTGGAAGAAGAAGTAGCAGCTAAAGCCTCTGATCACGTTCAACATGCAGAACAATATACAATTGCGTCCCTGAAGAACTCAGAGGAATCATTGAAAGAACAGGTTAGTGAATGTTTCTTTTCATAAGTCATTAGCAATCTTCATCTTTTTGTTCATGGTTTGTTCTTCCTATCAGTTAGAGAAAGCAAAGAAAAAGGAAGCTTCTCATTTTACTCCGACAAGCAAGATGGGGAAGCAGTTATTAATGGCTCAATGTAGGACCCGGCAAGAGGAAAATGAGGAGATAGGCAAGGAAGCTTCTGAGGGAAAGGTGCTGCTGTTGCTTCCACTCTATTTTAGATGTTATTATGTGCATTCAGTATCTCGAGTTAATTTTATCCTCAGCTATAATCATCATCTTTTGTTTTTCCTTTGCAATATTTTTATTCGTTCAATTTTCCTGGGTGTGAGAAATTAATAGGGGACTCTGCAATTTCAATTTGATTTGCTACTGTTTCTAACATTTGTATGCACTCTTATTATCTTGGAA